TGTCATCCAGTGCCAGGAGAGTTCTGGCACCATCTTCTTCTGTGTGCTGGGCTACTTGGGTTTCCTGGCAGTGGGTACCTTCTCTGTGGCTTTTCTGGCCAGGGACCTGCCAGATGTCTTCAATGAGACTAAGTTCCTGACCTTCAGCATGCTGCTCTTCTGCAGTGTCTGGACAGCCTTCCTGCCCCTGTACCACAGTGCCCGGGGCAAGTCCACTGTGGCTGTAGAGATCTTCTCCATCCTGGCCTCCACTGCTGGCCTTCTGGGTGGCATCTTTATTCCCAAGTGCTACATCATTTTACTGAAACCAGAGAGGAACACCGCTGCCTGGCTAAGGCAAGGTCACCAGGCACATCAGGAGAGGCAGAGTGAGATGCTCCAGGGAAGGTGTGTCCCCAGATCCGCACCACAAAGCTTCATGTCCTAGTCCTGGGGGGTGTCACCAGGACCACCCATGTGATTTTGTCTCACTGTTTTTGTGTGGTTCAAAGGTATTTAAAATATAGATCAAGATTAAAGTGAGATACTTTCAACAAAACACTCTTGATTATTGGGTTGACAGTGGCCACATAGATGGTTATTTTCTATTCTATCTCTATGTATTGCTAAAATTTATCACAATTAAGACAGTTAGAAAGGAGATCTGGCAAGGTGGCTCTATGGGTACAACCTTGGTTTGATTCCCAGGACCCAGATGTTGGATGGAGAGAACTGACACCACTAGTTGTTGTGTGACCTCTGCTCTCCAACTGTAGCACCCCCCATAGGTGTACACAGTCAATATAAATGCAAAATTGTCACAAGGGTGATGAATTGATGACAGTGTCAAGGGTTGCTAAGGATGTGAGGAATTGACAGGCAGACCATTTATCTCTTTTGTTTTGTTTTGTTTTGTTTTGAGAGAAACAGTACTGGGGATTGAACCTTTCACTGACAATTCTTTCACAGACCTACTTTGTGATTCAGCAACCCTATTCTTTTATATATATATATATATATATATATATATATATATATATATACACACACACACATACATACACACATATATATATACATATATATATACACACATATATATGTATATATATATACATATATATATCTAAAAAATGAAAACATGTCTTCTAGGACTGCAAATGAATCTTCAGAGATTCATTGTTTTTGTACTAAAAGTTCAAACAATATAAATGTTACGGTTAATGAATATTTGGTATGGTTTACTCATCCCTAGGATATTATTTGGTAATAAGAAATAAATATAAAAAGAAATAGAATACCATTTAATATCTGGTTAAACACTGAGAATATTACATTGTGTTAAAGGATACAGACAATGAATATAATATATTTTAATATTCCTTTTTATGAAATATCCTGAAGAATTAAATCCATAGGAACATATATCTGTCTAGTGGTTTCTTGAGGTTTGTTGAGGGTAAATTGGAGGCGATGAGTATAAAATATGTAGTATTTCTAGGGTCTACTGAAGATGTAAAATTTGTTTGGTGGGGTTCTAGAGGTAGCTCAATGGTTCAGAGCACTCACCCCTCCTCCAGAGGCCTCAGTTTGGTTGCCAGAACTCACGTCAGGCCACTCACAGCCACCTGTAATTCCAGATCCAGGGGATCCAACACCCTGGTCTCTGTGTGCACCTGCACTCATAATACACCCCATGCTTAATTAAAAAATGACTTGGTAATGGTTGTAAGACTCCAGAATATGCTAATGACCACTAAATTGTCATCTCCTTTTGTTTATTTATTTGGGACAGGCTCTTTCCACATCAACCAGGCTGGCTTCAAACTTGTAGCAATCCTGCTTCAGCGTCCTGAGTGTGCTCCCACACCTGGTAGGTCGCATAATGTAAATGGATGAATTGTACACTATGTCAATTTTGTCTCAATAAAGCTCTTATTAAAAAAGAATTATCCATCAATTACAGAGTGTTAACTTCCCATATATTTATTATTTCTAAGAAAAAAATCAAACGATTGAAATTGGAAGTTAAATAACTATAGGTTGAAATGTCAATGAACTGGGGGTATTGCTGTTTTATTTTATTTACTTCTTTTTAATTGTATATACTTATTGATTGGTGTGCATGTTTCTGTTCATGTTTTTGGACATGCAAGTCCCAAAACACTATGTGGAGGTCAGAGGGTAAGTTTCAGAAGTTAGTTCTCTCCTCCAACCAGTGGAGACCTTGAGATTTCATGAATGTCGTCAGGCTGCCTTTACTTGCTAAGGAGCTGAGCCATTGTTTAGGCTCTATTTTTGACTTCAATATGGGGATTATGGTCATTTTAAAAAATTATACTTATTTGTTGAAATAATGTTGTTTGGAATTTATCTTTTTACTTGAATGTATCTATTGTTTGTATTGTGTGTGTGTGTGTGTGTGTGTGTGTGTGTGTGTGTGTGTGTGTGTGTGTGATGGCTTCCATGTGGAGTCAGAGGACAACTTTGTAGAGTTGGTCCTCTCCTTCTACCTCTATGTGGGTTCTTGGGACCACACACAAATCATCAAGTTTTTTATCAAGTCAATTTACCTGAAAACCATCTTCTGCATTCTTTGTCTGTCTGATCCTTAGAGGTGGGGCTTGTGTTCTCCCATCCATATATTGTTATTTTGTTCAGTTCTATATTTGTACCCAAGCTCACCTTCCTGTCCACCCAGGGTTCATGTCAGTACCTTGGCCCTTTTATACCTTCTAGTAGGCTTCCCTCAAATAGCCTTCCCTCCTTAGTTCTTCTGCACATGTTGGGAGATTTTCAAGCTAAGGTAGAAGATTTCATTTCATTTGCTCCCTCCACATGCCTCACTCTAGACCAGTCAGCAGTGCTTCTCCTCCTCATGCACAGTGACACAGGCAGGGCCCTGTTCTCTCTCAAGTTCCAGAGGACATCAAGATCCACTGCCTTGTCCCCAATTCCAGAAGAATGAGGTTTCACCCCACAAGCTTTTCTCTTTGGGGTTCCCTCTTCTAATTAACTACTCAGCTAATTGTTACAGGATCACCATAGAGCTGGGGTCCAAGGACCATTAAGTATATACCCAGGTGGTAAGGAACAGTAATAGTTAAAAGATATTTACACCCCCAGACCCAAAAGTGTCTGCGCTCTGCATAAACAGATTTTAGTATAATAATCTATTACTGTTAAATGCGCTCAGTAATTGATCACCTGTGTCTCCTGGATACTAAACTAATAAAGGAAACAGGTGCCTTAAAATAATCTGTCTCCGATAAAGCTTATCTCAGGTAAAAATTAAATGCATGTTCCAAATCTCTCCTCTCTCTCTCTCTCTCTCTCTCTCTCTCTCTCTCTCTCTCTCTCTCTCTCTCTCTCTCAATAACCAATATAAGCAGAGTACTAAAACATTACAATAATATGGTCACCAGCTCAAGATTTTAAATTTCCCATGGCTGCTTCTTCATATGTTAAATTTTTTTTTTTCTGAGCTCCAGAAAATCCACCTGGATAGGTCAGCGAGTTCCAGAACCAGCTTAAATCCATCTGGGCAGGTCGGATCTGCTTCAGATAGTTGCAACCCAAACACTCCTGGTCTCAGGACTCCCTCTCTCACCCTGGGGACCTCCCAAAGGAAATAATAATAATAATAATAATTCTTTTTTCTGAGCTTTTTCTCTGTTTCACCAGCATCCTGTCAGACACAAGCAGCCAGAGTCCCAGGCTGAGAGGGATGATGGACAGGTCTGAGGCAGCAGACAACAGCCCACCATCCCAGGATGCCCATCATCCCAGGATATCTGTCTACCTCAGAAACCCCCTTCCCTATCCCCCAAGAGTCAACCAACACCCACCAAGTCAGCTGGAAGCAGTTTTTCAGGAGAAATGACGCCCCTATTCCTGTTCATCCGCTTTTTTTCTAATAAGAAAAATGTCTAGAATATTAGGATTCTGTTCTCTCCTCCAGCTGCATAACCGAACTCGTGCAGTTCAGTAGCTAAGTAAGGGGTCTTACGTCTTACATCATTTGTGCACTGTGTGATTACATAATGCATGTGGTATGGTCACGCAATCTGTGCATGTGTGGTGTAGCTCCATAAGCCCACATGTGCATGTACAGGGAAATCCTTAAAAAGCCGGTCCCAGACTCCTCCCCCCTCTTCAACTCTCTCCTCCCCCCTACTCTCTCTCTCCTACACATGTCTTTTATAGGCCTGGTCACTCTCTTCTGTTCCCTCCCCCAATAAAGCTCTGATACTGGGTTTTGTTGTGCCTCGTGACCTTTCCTCGCAGAGTAACAGCACCGCATTTAAAACCAACAGGGAGGCTTACTCCTTTTTTGCCTTCCCTTTGAGTGCCAATATTACCCTTACCAGCCCAATATTACACTTCCAAGACCTTCTTTAAATGACCTTCCATCTGATTTGGAACTGTCTCTGAGTTATGCCTTGCTCATAGCTCATTGAGGTCCAGAATTCTAAATGACCCCCTGAATTCCCTTCTCTATAGCAACTAACTAATTCATTAAACACACACACACACACACAACACACACACACACACACACACACACACACACACACACACACACACACAATGTCACCACTTCCCCACCTAAACTTTTCAGTGCTTCCCTCAAACTCACAACAAAGAAGCTGGACTCCTTGGCTATGGATGCAGTTCAGTTGATATCGTGCTTGCCTAGCGTGACCAAAGTCTTGGGTTGTATTCTCAGCATTGCGTAAAACTCATCGTGCCTGTAATCCCTGCACTCTTGAGGGGCAGGCAGGAGGGTTAGAAGCTCAGGCTATTTCCTCTTCCTGCCAATCTTGGACACTCTCTAATCTTACAACTTTAAGCCAGTTATCTTATAACTTGCTTTTTAGCTTCCCCATAGTCTTCCCTCTTAACACAGAGAACCATTCTAAGCATCTTTCACTGATTAGTGTGTTTTCTGGAGCTACCATTGCTTCTCTGTGATTCCTAACTTCATGTTGCTAGTGCATGCCTAAACCACCTTTACTTACATTTCTTCAATGTGGTCTTGCCCTCCATATATGCAACTTCACGTGCCATAAACAGGTCTAACTTGGCAGAGGTTTCTTGGGCTGTTTACTGTTCTATCCTCAATGGCTGCTCAATGAATGCTGACTCAGGGAAACACCACAGAGTAATTTGATGATTTAGACTCCCATAAGGTTTTGCCACCTTGAAAGAGAGTGTTGGGACAATCCTTGATGTTCTTCATAGGCAAGTGGGACTTCATAGGCAGGGGACACTCAGAATTAGGTTCTTCATCTAAAAAAATAGGTATAATAACAATCACCTTCTCAATCTTTTCAAGATTGAAGGAAATGCTTCCTAGAGATCATTCACCGTCACCAATCTCTGACTTCCAAAGTGGCTACCCTGAAATGCAGTTATACTGAGAGGCAGACTGAGCTTCCTAGCCGACCAATCTATTCAAGCTCTTAGGTTCCTAGAGGTGGCAAGTGAGAGAACCACCCACCCTTCTCAGCCTAGGAAAGAGGCGGAACCTTAGAGTCTGGGTGCTGCAGAAGCCGGACTTTGGATGGGGCTGCTCGGAAAATGGCCTGGACTGACTTCCGGTAGAAGCACGAAGCGCGCCTCCTTGAAACTACAACTCCCAGTAGTCCTCGCGTTGCTCCCAGGTTGACTCCGGGGGGGTGCGGCCGCCATTGTCCGCTGCCGACATAAGGCCTTGTTCTGGACCGCAGGGGTGCCGATGTCGTTGTCGCCGAGAGACTGGCGGGTCTTCGGAAGGGTCACAGAGAAGCGGCGCCTGCGGTCAGGGCTGGCTCACTGCCGGGGTGCGTCGGGAGCCTTCTCTTTTCTCGCCGACTCGGTGCCCCCGTTGCCCTCGACCCTCCGGCTCCGGGGTCTGGGTGCCGGCTTTCTTCAGGCTGGGAAAGGCCGGCCCGAGTGAGCCGGGTAAGCCAGGCCTGGAACGTTGTCTCCGTGCAGGACGGAAGCCAGCCGCCCCGTGCAGCAGCAGCCCCGAGCCCGCTAAGCCGCCCAGCAGGGTCGGGGCCGGTGGCGGCGAGCCAGGTAAGGCGGGCAGCTCGCTGGAGCGACCCGGTTGCGGAGGCCAGGAAACGAGATAGCGGCCAGCAAGCTCTTATTCCTTCGCTTCTAAGCTAAGATGCGTGAACGCAGGCGTCAAACCTGACTTGGGAACGGCCCGGGTTCTTTTAAACTTGAAGTGACACGGAGGTGTGTGTGGTGTGCGTGTGCGTGTGCGTGTGCGTGCAAGGTTCTTGCAACTTGCTTGCGCTCAGTTATCGGAGTGTGTGTTTGTAGGATTCTTGCAACTTGCTTGCCGTGAGTTTTGGCTCAGATCCTGGGGTATACCCGAGTCTCGTGAGCGTGGAACTGGTTAGTACCTAGTATCTCTCCGAGAGGTTCCGAGTCTCACACAAAGACCCGGCATCTGTGCATTTGTCGAGTCTGACTCTGGACTTTTGTCTCTGACGCGACTCCAGGAGAGAGAGATAGGCATGAGTCTGAAAAGTCTTGCAGGTGGTTTTTGTTGTTTGGCTTTAACATTTGCATAACGCTCACACTTTATCCTAAAGTGTGGGGTTCAGTGGATTTGTTGTATATACGGTGTGCAGCTGTAACCCCCCGCCCCCATTCCAGAACTTTTAATTACCCTCTTCCCTGCCCCCCAGAACCTCCTGGCACACATTTAGGAATCACTCCGTTTCTCCCTTCCTCCAGCTTTAGGTCATTAATGTATGAGCATTGTATGCAGGTTTTACAGCGTTTTTTTTTTTTTTTTTGGTTACATCAAAAGAAGAGTTCTATCTAAGTGGAATGGCTCTCTTGGTAATGGAGTGACGTACACATTTTCACCCTTAACCAGAATTGGTCAACTCCCCCTCACAATCACGCCCTATGGCATTCATTTCGCTCCAGTTTTGTTCTTTTTGTTTTTCTTGTGTGTGTCTGTGTTGACTGTGAGGTTGGTGTTGGGTCTCCATCTTGACTTTTCAGACAGGGTCTCTTACTGACCTTTCTGATTCCACTCTATTGACTGGTCAGAAATCCCCAGAGATCCTCCCGTCTCTGCTTTCCCAGTGCTGGTATTACTTGCTCTCCACTCACTGCACCAGGCACATATATTTAACATGTGGAACACAGATCCTCTTGCTTATGGCAAGCTCATCTCTATAACTCTACTCCGTTATGTTTGAAATGTAAATTACATTTATAAAAAATCATGCTTCTCAGAGGTTTTGTTACCTTTGTGGGTGGGTTCTCTTTGTTCTCACTGGCTCTTGTGTGAGAAAGGACCAATTTTGTCTTTGTTTTTCACTTTGTCTCTAGGTTGGTAATTTCAGTGCTGGGCAGGACCCTGGTTGATTAATCCTCAGGGATGGCAGCCATCAACCCATGGCCCTCCTGGGGTGAGTCCATATCTTGATTTTTTTGTATTTTCCTTACAAGAGATTTCTTGTCACTGTAGGTCAGGGCTGAGAGGGGACTGCTGGCTTTGGGAGATAATAGAAGGTCTAGTTGTCTCAGTACAAAATTAGAACTGATTAGTGGTTAAGGGGATGTTTATTCATAAAAGACAACATAAATATTGTATATTTGAGAGTCTGCTCCTGAAAAGGGCCTCTATAAGATATTCTAGTAATTTATGGGACTCTTTGGATGACTATCATACAATACATGCAGTCAAAAAAATTTTTTTAACTTCTCCTGTTTTTTCACCTTTAGTATTGTATTTCACTTATATAACATTGATCTGTTTTTTTTTAATTTATATTTTTATTACATATACAGTGTTCTGCCTGCATATATACCTGCATGCCAGAAGAGAGCACCAGAACTCATTATAAATGGTTGTGAGCTCCCATGGTGGTTGATGGAAATTGAACTCAAGACCCATGGAAGAGCAGCCAGTGCTCATAACTGATGAGCCATCTCTCTAGCTCTATTGATTTTTTTTAAACAATGTTAATAGTGCTATGTGATTGTTTTATCTTTAAGATTTCACATAGCTATCTAGGCAGTATCCTATGTACATAAAAAGCTGATAATGTTGCATCTTATCAGATACTTATTGAGCCATTTAAAGGGTTCTGTTTTTAATTGCCTTGTTGTTAAATCATATTCCATAGGTAGGTATATTTCCTGTACAAATCCAGGTTGTGTTGGATTTGTCATATGCCCTTGTGTTATGGAATAATCTTTTTGTACATTGTGAAGCTGTCTTTTCCAAGGCGCCTTCTGATTTGTTTAATAAAAGAGCTGACTGGTGGGTAGCTAGACATAGGTATAAGCAGACAGCCAGACAGTAGACCCTGGGAGGAAGAAGGGCGGAGTCTCAGGAGTCAGAAGAGATACCATAAGATGCAGAGCATGAGGATAAGAAGTATGTACATGAGGTAAATGAGCCTTGTAGCAGCGCATAGATTGATAGAAATGGATTAATTTAAGTTATAAGAGCTAGCTAAAAACAAGCCTAAGCTATTGGCTGAGCATTTATAATTAATAATAAGTCTCTGAATGGTTATTTGGGAGCAGCTGCCGAGACACAGAGAAACTCTACCTATACCCTTGGACTCTGTATAGGACTCTGTCATGTTCCTTTTTTCTTTTGTTACCTTTAGTCACTGGGTTTTAGTCACAGTCATAACCTGATCCTTCTCTGCAGGTACCCTCATGGACCAGTCTTGGGGGATGGCAGCTGCTGACTCTGCTATTTCCTGGGGTGAGTCACCAACCTGTACCCTAAACTCTGTTGTCTTCTGTGTAATATCTTCTTCCTTCAGGGATCTGCTATAGCTGGGGTCAGAGCTGGTGACCCAGCAGTTCTTTAGAACAGGAGCTTGTAGTCTGTCTCTCACTCTACAGAAAGAATAAAGAGGGATCAGAAAACTGTTTGTAGGGGTAAAGTGATGATGACATCTCAGGACAGATAACATGAGAATTAGTGTCTAGACGCTTAGGGCTCAGACCCAGAAAGGCTGTGAAAAGTGCTTCTCAGGGATGGTGCCTCATAGCATAGGTCAGTGAGGAGTCGTATGTTGTCACCTTCTCTGAGTCCCATTTCCTTCATCTAAGTAGCTTTCTTCCTTACCTGGGATGGTAGGAGCAAAGGCAGGGTGTAGCCTTCCTCATTTCCATAGGGTACATGAACTTCTGACAGGAAGAGGTGCCTCTATGACTTCTTTTTTCTTTCCTAGCTCTGTGCCCTCAGGATCCAGCATGGTACATAGAAGGAAGCCCTGAGGACGAGGGAAGAAGGGCGGCTGGGCTCCTAGCAGCCCAAGTCCAGGTGAGATGGCACTTCTGCTTTTTCTTGAAAGGTCACTGTGTTCCCAAAGGATGAGTGTCTAGGCTTTCCTCAGCCACCTTCGTTGTTGTGGTTCTTAATGTACAGCAGCAAGAGCATAGGTTGAGGATGCAGTCAGTTAGCAGTTCCTGAATGAGGTAGGGGAATCCAGTCAGTTCTCCATGATACAGAGCTTTGCTGTTGCTCTGCCTGTCCACAGAGCTGAGGTACAAACTATGCCATCACTGGTTTGGGAGAGATGAACGATAGCCATTTTGACTGGCAGCCCCTATCCGTTTACCCCCTGTTCTTAACTCATGTACTCAGAACCAGATTCAGGCTGATGTTGTGTAGTATACTCCGTGCTTGCTGTGAGAACAAGAACAGATGAGCCTTTACCCTGAGGACCTAACAGGCTACTTTCCAAGGTGGTTCACTCAGGTAATGACACTTCACAGCTCCCTTGGGGCTACACATGCTCTGTAGGATACAAGAAGCCCAAGACATGGAGGGAAACCCTAAGCCCTCTTGCAGCTCAGTCCACTGATGTCTTGGGAGATGAGACAGAGTCTGCAGAGAGGTCAGAAGGGGTACAGGATTGTGGAGGCGAAGGTCATCTTGAATAAGTCAAGAGGTAAAAGGAAGGCATCAGATGGGTGCATCCTGATAAGCAGGGGCCTGGCCTGCCTGTTGCTCCACAGGTGTGCTTGAGAGCCGGGGTGTACTGTATGACTGGTGTCTGCACGCAGACTGATTTTAGGTAGGAGAGGCTAGGAAGAACCCAGGTGAGCTTGCATGCCTGCTGCAGAGCTAGGAGCCTCAGACTTGTTGGCACCAGGAGGCACTGTGATCCAGAATGTGGCTGGGAAGGTGTGTGGAGTGGAGAGGCCATGAGAGGCAGGCTGCTGTCAGAGAGCTGCAAGGGAGTCCAGCAGGGGTTTGGGACTACGAGAGCACCTAGGGCAGCTCCTCAGAGGGAGGACAGGAGGACAGTGGTGTTGTGTGGCAGTAGTGCCACTGCTTTACCTTCTTGCCTAGGCTCTTCATCAGAAGCAGCCACTTGTCTTTTTTTTTCTTTTAAAAAATATAATAACTATTGAGACATCTACATACTAGAAAGTTGATCTACATACTTAAAAAGTTGTGTAGTTCACTGGTTTTTAATATAGTCACAGAATGGTGCTTCCAACCTCT